AGAGAGAGAGAGAGAGAGAGAGAGAAAGAGAGAGAGAGCATTCAGCCAGGATGGCTCGAAACAGGTTATAAAAATTACTCCACTAGTTCCTAAAACATATGCTCCAATTCTACCTCAAAAATGAAAAGGAAAATTAGTGTGATTTCCCCAGCACCTTTTTGATGATGGGTTGTGACCAAAGCAGTAGATATGACTAAAATGTGTGGCCAGCTGTGTGACCACAAGTTTTGACATGGTAACAACTATCAGGTGAAGATTCAAACAAATTAAGATCCTCAGGTTGGAAGCTAGAAGATTTCTTTTCACACATATATGAATAAAACTTGGCTCTAAATTAAAGGAGAAAGCACATCTTTGGCCCAAGCAGTCTCTCTTCTATTCAGTGTCAATTCCAGACACAGAAGAGAAAAACGCTAACGTTCAGTGTGGTGAAGGCCTATGGGGGTTGGGGGGCAGCATGGGGGCCGGGTAGAAGAGGTCAGTGGGGGTAAAAAAGGGAGACATCTGCAATACTTTCAACAATAAAGATAAATTTAAAAAACACTAAAGTTCAACAAATGTAGTTTACTTCCAGTCTAAGCATGACATAACTGACAACTTTAGCAGCAAAAAAAATTCTACTAAGTAAAAGAAAATTGATAGCTATTTTACTTACACATATTAAGGAAACATATTAAGAGGGACACTTTAAGGAAAATGCTTAGGAATGACTTGTTGGTGGACTCAGTTTTTTAAACTGCGAACTTGCATGTAGGGGACTGTTCAGCAAAGACAGATTGAATTCTTCTAATCTCAAAGCAACAACCAATTGAAAGAACAATATAGCATAAATTCCCTCTTCTAAAAATGATCTTGTGGCATCAGTATTGAAATCCTACTGAACTCTGAATTTTTGAATTGTACTGATTAAATCGGCATACATTGCATTTTCAAAGGCCTCAGTTTGTGGCTAATGTTTTGGTCAAACTTTTGTTTTAGTGGTTTCATTACTAGCATCTTATTAGAGAACATATATCTGAATGATAGATAAAGTGAGAAGGGGAAGGGAAGGGCTTTATTTTTTATGGAATTAACAGGAAAGAAACAACCACTTGAGAGCTATGTCCTATTTTCAAGTGGCTTCAAAGCAAAAGTACCTGGCTTAGTACTTCCTGATTCTGCTATTCCCAAACAGGGAGACCGAAACCGGGAACTAAAAGCTCTTTTGTGGTGCCCTGGAAACCAGGCGTTTACTTTAGAAATCTAAAACCAAAACCGCATGGCCCACTTCTAAATTCAGTTTCTGAAGCGGATTCTTGGGACTGGGTTGCCAACAGGCCCAAGGAAAAGAAGTGCAAAATGTGAGAACTCCTGAACAGAAGCAAACCTCAAAGCATGCTACCGTCTATATCAGTGGTTCTCAACCTTCCTAATGCCGTGACCCTTTAATACAGTTCCTCATGCTGTGGTGACCCCCAATTTCATTGTTACAAAATGAACATAATTAAAGCATAGTGATTAATCACAAAAACAATATGTAATTATATATGTGTTTTCCGATGGTCTTAGGCGACCCCTGTGAAAGGGTCGTTTGACCCCCAAAGGGGTCGCAACCCACAGGTTGAGAACCGCTGGTCTATATAGTCTCGTGTATAGTCATTGCATTGTGAGCAATGGGGAGAAAAGCTCCCAGCACTCCGCTGACCCCGCCTGTCAAGAGCCTGAAATAACTCAAGCGTGATGAAGTGAATGTTCTTAGTCCCCACGACTCTTGATTCATCATGCAAGTGCCACAGTGCCAAGTTGCTTGAAATCAGAACTGCACCTTAAATTCACAAACTCTGAGTCACCCACCACAGCACCTCTGTTCTTTCCTATACAGCTGTCACTTCCAGGCACAGCTGTACCATCAATGCTTATTGAATAGTGACTGATTAGCCAATGTGGCAGACCTTTCTAGTGATTCCTTTCATCAAATGCCTGGATAAGACTGAATTTATGAGATAAAACCAAGAAAGATAATTCCAAGTACACATCCATTCACATAAGTACAAACTAATGGCGCATTCCCCCCAACATGCCCCCCTCCCGCATCCCCCCTAAAAAATCCCAAATGTGTTAGACCTACTTACTTGTATCTCAGAAAAAGCCACTGGGTGATCCATAAGCCAACTAATATAATCCCATTTATTTCTGATACAGAAAATGCCCACTTCACCCGATCAATGTAATCAAAAAACTTGTCTGGGAGTGGAGGGCTGAGCTCCTTGGGAGGGACCCTCTCGTGTACAACTGTGATCATGACGGTTGTCAGGACGAGGTTGAAAACAGCATACACAAACGCGATGCCCGTTTTCCACCACTCCAGGGGGAATTTGCTCCTGGAGTCCGTGGGCATAGAGATTTGGATATAGTCTGGGTACTTTTTGGAGCCCTTCCGCAGCCCATTGGATAAGCTCTTGGGTTTACCGTTGCCATTTTTCTCTTCTTCTTCGGCAGGTTCAGCAGGCCGTGGGTATGTGTTTGCCGGATCGTTGGTTTGATTTTCCATATGTTCTTCAAGTTTTGCTGTCTCTATGATATCCATTGTCCCCCAGTCTTCAGATCCAAAAGGAGATGGTAGTGTTCTTAGTAGAAATGTTTTTTAATCCTTCTATTTCCAAGATAAACATGGGCTCTTCATCTGATTCTGTTTCCTGGTGTAAAACGTAGAAAGTAGCCACCAGATGCCTGGTCCTCCCATGCAGCTCTCCACTGTGCATCCGCCGCTGTCAGGGAAGCAGGCCAATTCTCTTTCCCCCAGAGATTTCACTTCGGCTCCTGTGAAAACAAAACAAAACTACGATCAGATATCGTGCCCCTCCAACTGTCAACCATCCAAAAAAGAACATGATCAAAATATGGAAACAAATACCAAAGCCATTTGCTTTATAAATGTATCGTCAGAACATAGTTATAGCTGCCGAGACGAGTTTATTTATAAAATACTGAATTGTTTTATCTTGGAATTCTTCTCTTTTTGAGCTGATGTCAGTATAAATAGGAACATTTTAATAATCAATTCCTTTTAAATTTCTTTAAATAGAAGCCAGGACCCAACACTGCAACCACTTCATCAGCCACTGAAACCTGTTGCTAACCATGAAGTCACAATGGGCTAGAACCTCCCCAGATCACATCACTCCTTCCTAAGACTGCATCTTTTCCAGGAACCTTACAGGATAAAAAGTTGTGATGATTGCCCTGCCGGCCCAGTGGTGGAGCGTCGACCTTTGAGCCAGGAGGTCGCCAGTTCCATTCTGAGTCAGGGCACATGCCTGGGTTGCATGCAGGAGGCAGCCGATTGATGTTTCTCTCTCATCAATGTTTCTATCTTTCTGTCCCTCTCCCTTCCTCGCTCTCTAAAAAAACCAAACCTGGTTGGTGTTGCTCAGTGTAACCTATGAACCGGGAGGTCATGGTTTGATTCTCAATTAGGGCACATGCCCAGGTTGTGGGCTCAATCCCCAGTTGGGATATGCAGGAGGCAGCCAATCAATGATTCTCTCTCATCATTGATGTTTCTCTCTCTCTCTCCCTCTCCCTTTCTCTCTGAAATAAATAAAAACACATATGTTTTTAAAAAACTGTGATGATTACATGTTCTGTATAATTGTTACCCTCTGCATTTGTCAGAAAGTCAACTTTCTATTTTCTTATTAAAACTCTGGAATCCTGTCCTGGCCGGGTGGCTCAGTTAGTTGGTTCTCTTTCTGAGAACCAACCCATGCACCAAAAGTTTGTGGGTTCGATTCCCAGTCAGGGCACATACCTAGCAGGTTTGCAGGTTCAATCCCTAGTCGGGGCTCACATGGGAGGCAACCGATCAATGTTTCTTTCTTTCTTTCTCTCTCTCTCTAAAAAATCAATACACATATCCTCAGATGAGGATTTTAAAAAAATAAACAAAAAAACTGTAATCTTTTCAAGTGACCACTCCTCAGAATATTCGAGAACTAAATGACACTGCCTCGGTTTACTCTTTTATAGTCAGAGATGCACCCCATACACCAGGAAGGCGGACAGCCTCCGAAATAACACAAAGCCTTCGAGACACAAAGCCTGAGCTCTATCTCATTGAGGCAACAAACTCCGCCTGTTTCCCGAAGGATAAAATAACTTCCTACAGCCGGCATGGCAAATTAGTAACATTTCGATGCAGCCACCACCATTTCTGGCAAACAACAGAAACAGGCACCGCGAGGACCGGCGCGGGCACTTACCTACCGCGACCCCCGGGAGGAAAGGGTGCCTTCAGCAGAGGCTCCGCCGGCTCCAAAGAGCAAAGACGTCCTCACAGCCCAGGGCACCAGCACCCTCTCTTTATACCCGCTGGCCACACGGCCCCAGCTGTTCTCAATTTAGGAAGCAGCATTTAGCCAGACTGCAGATCCCGGCCACCTGAAGAGGCTTCCAGGCCTTCTAATTAGTCCTGGGCTTGAGCACACTGTACAATTTAAGCATAATCCTTTGCATTTGAAAGGCCTCTCTTTTCAGGGTAACTTCAGGGAAAAATTAAGGGGGAGGAAAAACTCAAAGTGGTGACAGCTAAGCCTTCATTTGCCGAAAGGAAAAAAAAAAGTTGTTAAAATGACACAGTTAATAAGTACAGGCCATGTTTGTTGGGAGTTGTGGATGGTAAACAGAGCAACCACAAGTGTTTACTGTGTACCCAAATGCCCCAGCGATGAGGGGTACGGGAGGGGGCAACTAAAAGGAGCGAAAAGCAAAAAACCAACCAAATGACACCGACCTGAATATCCACCCAAAGGGCTCACAGTCTAACCGAGGAGGCAGAACTGACGTGAGGGGACTATGTGGGAAGACTGAATGGCACGTTGTACAAGGGAGGAGGTGGTCCCTCGACAAAGCAGCTTTACTTGGTCCCTGCTCCCCTGACGGGATGTGTCCACAGACGGGCACAGGCCATCTGGGAGGAAGCAGGCGCAGGAGCAGCGTTAGCCTGGCAGACACAGAGGATGGTGGGAGGACGGAGACACATCCCCGCTAAGGGAGAGCACTAAGCACTTCGGACGTCTCGCTCGCTCTTGTCCCTGTGAAAACCCCAGCTGCTAACACATTAGGGTCGGATGAGAAAGCAGCAGTGTCCCTCTGTAAAACGGGGTTCCCTGGTATTCTCTGTGGCAACCTGGCACAAGGTTGTGGGAAGGGTAAACATAATGAAGAGGTGCCTCAGTGAGGCAGAGTCAAAAACAAACCTTCAACACCACGGATGACTATTCCTAACGGAGGTAGCAAAGCACTAACTCAGCCATGACCTGTCTCTTTTTACCAACTCTAGGCTATCCCACTCATAGCATCTTGCCAAACGCCATCCAGACTTCCTCCCACTTTCCTATTCCACATGCTGCGAGCCTGGCATTTGTATGTGAAAGAAGCCTGCGGTTTTAAAACCCAGGTCCACCAATGGACACACAGATGGTCTAGAAGGTGGCTACCCAGTTCTAGAACACAGAATGTAGAACAGAAGAAAATCCAATTAGTCACCTATTTTTTTTTTTTTAAAGAGGAAGTGCTCTGCCACTCACCTCATGGGACAACTGTGAGGATGACTGAAATAATTAACCTTGAAGAGCTCTGTGCTCCTGGGAGTAAGAGCATCAGTGGCTCGATTGCTATTTTCCTTGGGATTTCATTAAGAAGATTCAATATACAAACCACAATCAGCAAGTGTCAGCCAATCCTGGGGCGCACTGTCTGTCATCAAGATGACGACTACAACATACTCATTCCTGTGGTAACCCTGCCCTACCAGTAAGTATCTGCGGAAGTGACAAAGGCCACAGTAGTTCCTCTCCATGGATGGCAATCCCATTAGCTCATTTGCTTAGGGAGCTGTACCTGAGCACAAGGCGGATGGAGGGCTTTCAAGGCCTCTTACATTGCAAAATACTAGAAGTTAACCTAGATAATTAAAGAGCTAAAGATTGCTATAGGCTAATCTTCCTTTGGAAGGCAAATGCAAAGCTCTGAAACTGTTAGTACACGATACTGTTTTGTTAGTTTTGTTTGTTTTTTTCGGAAATAGGTATGATTTATTCCAGAAATGCAAGGAAGGTTTCAAATTAACAAATGATTGTAATAAAATACAAATATATGTAAAAAAAGAAAAGATACGATCATCTTGAGTGAAGTAAAAAAAGGCATTTGATAAAATTCAACACCCACGTGACTTTTGGGAACGTTTTCAGTAGTAGAAATAGCAGTATATATAGCTACGCTCCTTCGGTGTCCATATCACAGTTTTAGCTCGGTAGTACGTGTTCTAGTCGCTGGTGAAAGAAGGCTTCCACAGCTGCTCCTCTTTTCATCCCTAGGAGAACTTAAGTTTTTTGTGTGTGAAATTACAAGAAAGCACATCATTTTGCTTCTATGTTTTATTTCTGTTACCTCTATTATACCATAGAGGGCTTGATATTACCATATTAATATACATCAATAGTCATTTTCTCTTAATAATCTCAATAGGATTGTTCCTTAATTTGACAAACAGATTCTCAGCTTCAGCAGGAAGCAGATGGGAGAGTCAGTGGAAGGTTTGCACTGTAGGCATTAGACTATATTACGTAAGTATATTGGGGTAACGGCTCCGAGTTCATCTATTTTGTGGGTTATCCAAAGGAAACAAGGATGTACAAAAAATATTTCTACAAGTAATGCTTGAAAATTGGAAATAGTGTAATATCCAAAGACAGGGTATTAGTTAAATAAATTACGGTTATCTTATTATAAAATGTATGTTTTGATATAGTACCTATGAAACTGTGAGACAAGTATATAAATAGTTTATAAAAAGGGTACAGTATCGAATTAAGTAGAAACGTAGATCTGAATAGATGTAGAACCTCATTAATTCATTTCAGAGGTTATGGATCAAAAAAAGGGAGTGGGCCATGTGACACATACTCAAGGCTTTAAGAAGAGGCACAAGTGTGAAACTCGAGACACGGCTCCCCGAGCAGTTCTGACCCGAGGCTCTCTGACAGCAAACACAAGTTCCGGTCGCAGGGCTTAGAAATTCTTTGTTGCTAGATTCGTATGTCCGCCTAGTTATACATTTGAGGTGGTTAAGAAGATAATGTATTAAATGTGTAAATATCGTTTAAAAATTCAGGACACCTCTAAGCTTATATATGGGTTTTACTGTGATCTGTTACTTCCATGTAACCTGGTGAAGATGGAAGTTAAACACTGATCAAAGAAAATGTGTTTGTATCATTTACAAACTGGAAAATAAAAGAGATATATACCTTGAGCTTAAAGGTTTAAAAAACAACAACTAGGTCTTGAAACAGAATTTATTGAATTGAATAACAATGAAAGCAACCAGTGATTTTATTAGCAGACACAAAAGCTTTCTTAGGCCTTAAAAAACTCAGTTGTCTGCCATTAAGGCATTAAAAAGTCAAGTTGTAGAGTAAAACAGCCACAAAGTAATAGTTTTCAGTACCTTACTCATGTGCCATTAGCAAATGTAACTTATGTGTACTTACTGTGCTTTGTGTATTATCTAATTAATCCTCATACCAACCCTAGGAAATACTGTAAAGAAAAGAAATTGAGATAAAGTGAGATGCTCAAGGTCAGACAGGTAGGAAGTGGCAGAGCCCAGACTTGAACCAGAAATCTGACCTCGGGGGCTCCTCTTCTAATGGCACACCACTACCTCCATGCCATTTATTACATGTCAGAGGTCTACAACAGTGTCATTGGAAAAGATTGAGACAATCGATTATAAGCTTCTCCCCTCCCCCAAAGAG